GTACTATGAGCTGTCAGCAGGTATAGGAAGATTATTAATAATTTTAAATAATTATTATTATTTGTTAATTGGAAGAATATAATACATTAACTTTAAAGAGTTATGAATGCATAATTCATGGCTACTTGGTGGATTTTGCAAATCTGTATGACATGATGGAAAACAAATCTTGGAAATACTATCATTTAGGTTTGTGGCCATCAAGAAACTGCAGTTTTAATGCAACTTTTCGGTTTGATGTTTAGGAGAAAATCCTAGTTCTGTATTAAAACCACTGAACTATCTGGGCTTCTTACAAATATTCATTTACCAAATGCACAAAAGTCTGTGACATTTCCTTCGTCTGAAAGGATTAGCTTTAATTTTACTTGCTTGTATCATAGCACACTGAAGTGAATGACTATACACTGGCTTTTGTAGTTCTGTATTTCATAATTTTTCTTTTAATATGCCATGTCTTTATCAACACACTAATGTAGTTGAGGAAATAGGTGCATCTAGTTTGCCAAAATTAGCTAAGCCATCATTTCCTTAATAAATGATTTATATCACTGTTAACATGAAAGGACTTGAGCAACATTTTATGGGCTGTTGTACATTTTCAGTCCTGACATTTTAAAAAGCCACAGTTTTTATCTATGATATGTCTGTGTGCTGATGCATGGGCTCTTTACAGCTTTTGTAATATTTATATAAAATTTATTGGCAATAACTGCTATTACCCAGAGCATCTATTTTGAAAGGTCTGTGTATCTATCCATGTTGACTGAGCTGTTCAGAGGGTGTTTGTAACTTTCTGGGCATTTTGCCACTGCTTCTGTCCGAACTTTGTCCATGCTTCTGTCAGCTGGTTTAGTTAATGGTTGCTTGCTTGATGTTAACATGCTGATTTACATTATAATTAAGAATGAGTAGGAGTTTATAAGGGAACTTAAAGCTCATAAGTAACACAAAAATAATGCTGCTTTAAATAAATTTCTAAAGATAATTGAGTGTAAATATTAGAATATCAAACAGCTTGTAGTTTGCCTCTTTTGATGGAAGGACTTATTAATGAGTGTACAGTGTTGGTGTTAAGTGTGTTGAATGGTAGCTGTGTTTGTATCACATCTTTAAGTGGAGAGACCTCACTTCCCATGACTGATTCATATGTTTTGATGCAAGTTGTGACAGAGTATATCCTACATACTGCATTGTATAATGTAGATACCTCATGTTTGCCATCTGATATCTTATATAAAAGTAGAACTATGTTCAGAATATCCTACAGTCTCCTGTGAAATAAAATAGCAGTTTAGCAAATAAGAATATAAGATGAAGGAAGAAGGAGCTTAGGGAAAAAAAAATCCTCATCTCCTGGTCTCTTTGTTAAGAGTAAGTAAATCTCAGCAGACGCAAAATACAGCTCAAAGAATACTGGTCAGCTCTGCCTGTACTGGTGATTTATCTGTAACAAAGACGCTGCTGAGGAAAACATACTATTGGAGGGTGTGAGCTTCTTGCAGTGAATACAGACAAAATTTGACTTGGAACCACATGAGCTCTTTCCTACTGGTCTCTTTCTGTTGGTGTAACTCAGTTAACTGAAGTGCTGTCTGCAATACACTGCTCTAAGTGAGAGAAACAAAAGTTCCTTAAGACTGATTATGGGTTATAGGTCTGTGGTGAGGGCTGTAGCTATGAGTCTGCAGGTAGTTTTTCTGTTACCAAATAAATTACATCATCTAAATTCTTTATTAGTTATTTTAGTGCCACAAATGCCAGAGAGAAGCTCATTTGAGTGGCAGAAGGAGCCAAAGATACATGCTTTTCAGTCATGGTTTTGGCAAGATTTTACAGTCTGTACTTACAGTAGTATTGCAGCTGAATTGAAAAGTAGTCTGCTTGTCTATCCACACCATTTTATTGTCTCTCTCACTTATTTTGGACTTTACTACTTGCCTCACACTTGGCAGTTTTAATTGCACCTATTTCTGTGCACAGGCGAGGAGTCCACTCAGTGCCACAGAATGCATTTCATTAGTGGTTTTGTGTAACGCTGTCTCCATGCCACTGATAAGCAGGCTACTGCAGTGTGAACTGAAGGCCAAACACATCCACTGAATTCAGTGGGTTTACCCATGCTTTACCTGTCCAAAGACTGCTTCTCACACAACTGACTGCACAGTAGTAATTTTCAAGAACTGGGTGCACGTTTAGAAGCTTCTTGAATAAGGGACCATGAAAGTGTGAGGAAGTGTGATGAGTGTGTTACCAGGACAGTCTAGGCTTAGTGGATGGTGCAAAATAAGACATTATGAAAAACAAATGGTAGGACAGACAACTACATTACATTCCATTATGTAGTTTGTGTAAAAATACTGATCTCGGTGCCACATACAGTTACGATGGGGCAGCATCAAAATTTGTCCCTAAGCTTTCCTGTAGTCCAGTAAGCTACTCACATTCACACCATGTTAGAAAAAGTTTTAATAACTAATTATGTTCATTGGAGTAGGAAAAGAACGAAATGGTGGTTGAGATGCAATTGTGGAACTCGCTGAATGGCAAGAAATTGCTGATAGATGTTTTACTTTCCCATGTATTTTGCAATGTCAGTGTCTTGATGTTCTGTTAAGTTTCTTATTGTGAAAATATTTATCTTAATTAGTTATTATAGCTTGAGACTAATTGTCTAATTTTTTTTTTTTTTAGTCATTTTTTGGCGAGCAAACATAAAACTGCTCAGAAGCTCTTAACAGTGTGGCTGGGGTAATTAGTTACAAGTCAGAGATAACAAGCAATTGAAAAGGCATTACAGGTTTTTCTCCACCTTTCTCATCTGAGAGCTGCAAGAGACTTGATTAAAATCAGCAATAAAAGTATATCACTGGAATGAAGCAGCATTTTTATAATGAAGTACAGGTGTTTCATTAAATGTCATGTGGTCCGGGCTGGTGGGTTTTTGCCCTGTCCCTCTACCCTGCAGTACAGGTCATTATCGACTGCACAGCAACCAAGGGCTGAAAAAGGGACTTTGCAATATAGCTGTGAGCCTCAGCAACCTCCAGGCTTGCCAGGATTTAGGGCTCAAGCTCTCAGCTGGCATCAGACAATATAAACTAACCCTTGGTCAGTTAGACTGCACCCATGTGAATATGATGAGAACGGCATGGTCTGCCAGCATTAGCTGATCCAGTTGTTTTGCCGTAACCCAGGAAGCACATAAGGGACTGTCTCCTACAGGACTAGGTAGAATAGTGCCTGTCTTGCAAGAGGAGGTAGCCCATGTGGTTTTGAATTACTGTCAGAATTCCTGCTGACCCATCTCTTTTATCCACAGTGTGGGTGGGTTGTATTGGCAATGCAGCCTCCTCCAGACTTTCTTCGATCATCTATTCTTACCTTATTGCTAAACTTTATGGTTGCACAAGGTATTGAATATTTTAGCAAAAAATTCTACTTAAAGAATAAAATGAAACTATTAGATTTGTACTGAAAAGACAGGTAGTTTTATCTTGATAATCAACATTAAATTTCAGACTATACAAATATGATTATCACTAGAACACCACAGGTAATAATGTGGGTGTTTCTTTTCTGAAGTACATAATACCTCATGATATTTTATATATATATATATATTTTATGAGACCTTGTGAAGTAGGAAAATGCAGTTTCTTCCCACATTATATGATAAAAAAGGTGAAATAGCCCACAGCCATACGTAAAGGCTATAGTGGATCTGGGTCTTACCCAGGATGTCCCAAGCCAAAAGAAATGCCTTAGGCTGCTTGTCTTCTTGACTCAGAATCAACTAAAAGAAAAAATATAGATGGAAAAGAAGCAAGGCAAAATCAAACAAAGTGTTTTTCCAGTAGTTTTTGCCTGGTCCAGGTGACATAAACATAAATTATAAATTATTTTTGGCTTTAAAATGCAGAATATTTTAATAAAATACATAAAATTAGCCTACTTAGAGGAGGTAGTCATATTCTTGTTATGAGACAAAAACTAGAAGAAATTAGGCTTTAAAGAAGCCGTCATTTTACATCAGAGATGTATAATTTTGTTTTAGCACCTGTTTGGTTACCGTGAGTCTGCAGGGTTGAAGTGTTTTTCCTTACTGACCACTGATATATTTATTTGGCCTTACTGTACCTTCCAGCCAAAAGCGGAGCAGAGGGGAAGAGTCTAATGATGAAGCCGTGTTGCAGGCTGGAAGTGGAAGGGTAGTGGCAAGGATGATCTGCAGGAATTGTCTACTTGAAATGTTCTTGGTCTCAGAAAGAGAGGCGGAGACTGGGAATCTGAGACATAGGATCCTATTTGTAATTTGTATGAGAAATTTCTAGGATAAAAAATGCTGTAATGGGAATACTAATGGAAGCTCAAACAAAAAATGAGATGTTGAAAAATGTTGAGCTCTTTCTGGTGAATTTAAAGGTGAATGTCTTCCTGCCCTAATTTCTCTTATTTCCTGCTGCTAGAAGAAAAAATGTCAAATGGGATGAGGTGTATTTATGTAGCCACAGCTGACATTTTTAGAGGCACAGGATGGTATTTAGACCTGGATGACTGAAAATGCTATGGTGTATGGTCATGAAGGAAACATTTTTGGCTTTTAAATCTGTGAATCAATGGGAAATTATATATTGGATTAAATTCTAAGTTTGGAAACGTTTGATATATGCACATATGGCTGGCACTGGGACGGAAGTCAGGAGGATTGGAATAGCTAGTTAGCCAAGCAAGGCTCTTCCTTTGGAGTTTACTTTCTATACTCCAGTCCTATGGGATTTTTTTGGGGTTTCAGATGATGGTGGAATAGATGTTGGAAGCAACACTTTTTTTGTACACCAGCATGACTCAGGAAGGGAAACCAAGGGGAGATACAACCAATAGATTTCCTCTGTATTATGTAAATGTTATCAATTATTTTTAAATGATCCCCTCTTCCTCCTTGCCCTGGATGGAATAAAAATGTCTTTTTTTGTTATGTTTCTTTGTTTCTCTGACAGAGTTATCATCGAACCAAGGGAGAATTTCTATTTTAAAGCCACTACAAGAAAGGAACACTATAAAAGGTATTGTGTTTCTATAGTTGCTCACCAAGTCTCTTGCTGCTTTGTCATTATGTATGTTCTTAAATCACTGTCCTTTTATTTTTTAAAATGATCTTTACAGCTCTCAGAAATTCATTCATTTGCATGTTATTGAAGGCCCACTAAAATTTGTTTTAAAATAGTGGTAGAATGGTTGAGGAGCAGAAAGAAGGAAATACCCATGATAAATCATAAAACTGTGAAACTAGGACAAGAACCTATGTAATTCTGTATTGTGTTGGGAGCCGAGGCACCGGCGAGGGTAAAATTCAAGTGCAAGCTGAGGAAAACAGGGATAACAATTTTCTCTTTTGTGGCTTCACACCATCTCCAATCCATGTCTTCCTTCTCCTTCTACCATGGAAATCTTCATTTAGTTTCATTCTACCCTTGACAGAGCAGGGAATGTCTCTTACTGTGTGACTTCCTCCTACGGCCACATTTACAGCAGGTGGAATCTAAGCATGCGCTTCCTATGCTGTTCTCAGTTTGTGCTTGTGCTTTCCTAAGGTTTTGCTGTACCTGAACAAGCTAGATTAAAAGCTATGGTTATGCCTTGCATCCCACCTCTTTCTGCAGTAAGGGTCATACTTTTAAGATGTCTTCCTCTCTCCAGTCCCTCCCTGCCAACTATGTCTTGGCCTTTCTTGAGATCAAAAGGCCAGTTCTCTGGTTGCTTAGAGGATGACCACAAACATTTTCAGCTGCTGTGAATTCACCTCAATACTTTGGTGTCTCTGTTCTAAATCAGGGCGGCTTGGTGGTGAATCATGGGATTAAATATTAAAGTACTTCGTTGGGGTTTTTTTTTAAATATTATTCTCTTCTGTGTACTGCTTTATTTTTCTCAGTGTAGGTGGATTATAGTTTTAGCCAAGCATTCTTCAAAAATAATCCTCTGAATAACAAGTATCATGTTACTGATTTTTGCAAGTTCTTTCAATTTTCATTTGATTATTTTTAGATTAAACATTGTCCCTTATATGTCAAACCTAAAAGTGTATATAGCCCATTTAAAGTTTGAAAGCTGTTTGTAGGAAGGATTCTCAACAGAGTTTACATTGTATTTACTGTCTGAATACTTACCTCTGTTACTTATATAGTCTTACTGAAATGATTTAAAAGTGTTTATTATACCTGGAATACTTTCCTATTTATACAGTGCAGGATTTTCATTTTGATACAATAGAGGGAATTTATTTTAAATATTTGAAGTTGGTAGACAGTTAAAGTAAAATTATTATTTTTCCCTCTCATTGCAGTTAACAGCAGAATGGTTATTAAAAAGGGGTGTTTGAATGGAAAATTGGTTCTTGGAGCAGATCTTCAGTGATCTGGAAGAAATCATTCTGCTTCCAAATAACTGTAATTAGACACTAGTGATAAGTGTATTCCTGGAAAGAAGAAATGTTGATGGGTGATATAATCTACAAAAAGTATTAAGATTCAGTCAAAGATACAGAAGTAGGTTAGCCTTGGAAGGGGTGAGGTCAGTGTGTAACTATAGCCACATGGAAGAAAAATATCCATCCAAAAGACAATTGATAGTAAAGCCCTAAATCCAATACTTTCCACAGTTCTTACTGATTTTCAGATCAGAGTCAACCTCAGCACAGAAGATGTAGTTTAAATGTGGCAGTTGTCCAGTCGAAATGGAGGCTTACAATGAGGTCAAATTCAGAATAGGTTTCGTAAGCAAAAGAAGAGAGGGGTAGGGAAAAGGGGGAATCCCTGGGGGTTCAGTATGGGTGTTGGTACGTTGCCAGTTCTAAGGCTGTGGTGGCCTCTGCCACCTTGGTGCAGAGCAGAGGGAGACACCGCGTCCCTGTACTGTGCTGGCAGCTGTAGCGTTGCTGACTGATAGCAAGCTGCTTGACTGTGTCCTTGGAGCCACTAATGGAAGAAAGTTGCACAAAAATTTCCCTAACTGATATGAGAAACAGTCAAATTATTCTAACTGAAGTTTTCCTAAAAGAGAAATTTAGCCTGAAGGAAGTATCTACCAGGGAGAACTTCAGCCCAAATGTTTAAATTTTGATAGAGCTACAGGCCAATGAATAGAAAGCTCTTATAATAAAGATATGAATCTTAGTTGTGAAAATTGCTACTTGCCGTGATGTAATAAAAATAATTTTTGGTAAGTGTATGAATGTAACACTTTGCAGACTAAGTACAGCACTGCATTTCTGTTTCATGCAAGATCTAAATGAGTGAAGAACGCTTGAGTCTAGACTAATCAATGGGGTTACTGAGGCATCTTGATTTACCCAATGATATGAATAAGACATGTCCTGACCATTATTCTCTGAAGACTATTTTGACTGTCAGTTTAGCCCCAAAGAAGCCAGTACGCTTGGCTAATAGAATAGAAAATGCTTCTGAGTGATAAAGACTTCTGCTTTGAAGAATCAGCAGTGTCTTGCACCTGAAAAAAGAGAAGTTGGCAGTTCTTGTGATATTGTTTCAGCCCCTCAAACAGGCAGCAACGCTCTGGAGCAGGACGTTTTTGCGCTGTGGTAACAAAGACTGTTCTGTTGAGGTGTTAGTGCCAAAATCCATCGTACAGAATGATGAGTGTCTCTGAGACTGGCATTAAAATGTATCTGTTTTTCCTCCCTTTATACGTTTATGCATGAACTGGATGATTATTCAAGACATCAGATGAGCTAAATATTTTATTTTGCTCAGATATTATTTATTAGTTCTCAAATACATGCTTGCTTTGTAACACTAAAAAGCTGTGGTGTTAATCAGCACAAACTTGGATTCTATCCTAAACTTACAAGGGTAAAATGAACTTGGATTGCATTTTAAATATATAGATGCTGAAACAGTGAAAGGTCTATCACTGCCATCTTTGAACCTACACATACAATTGCAGAAAGCAGAGCTACATTTTGGTCTAACGGAGTAGGTTTACTTAGTGCCCCAGGCTTCCAGATTTAGCTTGGTGAAAAAAATACTTGATTTAGAATGAGACAGATGTTACTGGAGAGAATTAGAGCTATTGGGCCTCATTCTGTTTCTTCCCTCTTTTTGTATTGCTTTAATCTCCTCTTCATTGATACTGTTCCTGGTTTAAAGCAATTTAAGGTTGAAATCTGGTTGTTTGTAATGAGAGAGGTTGAAATATTGGAGAGTAATGCAGTAGGGTTGGTCGGTAAGCAGCTAATAAAATTCATCTGATTTAGTAGCTTCAAGAATTAAACATGAATTATCGACATTTTTTCTCTCCTGTTTATACTAATGTTTTCAATTCCCTAGTGGAACAACAGAGCAGCCACACAACCCACTAGACATGACTGTGCGAGTTAAACAAGACACACATTTAGAAAAACAGGAGAGGGTTTTCTGTTTTGTTTTTTCTTCTGAAAGCAGTAAGAAAACCACAGGGAGGATGTTTGCTCTGAACACTTCAAAACTGTGATTTAAATTTTTTTTTTTCCTAGAAATGCCAGTTTGTTTATTGGCATAAAATGCTATGGGAGATATTAAGTATTTGATTCAGATGGGTTAAAAGATCTGTTTCCTTTTGATGCATTTATTTGCATTAATCTTAAAAGTCGTAATTGGAAATGCCCTCATAAACCCTGAGATTCGAGCCCTAGAATTAAAAAACATTTATTATTACCCAGGAATGTAGCTATGCAGTTTTATTAGCCTTTCTTCTACTGTAATCTATGGATCTCATTTAGCTGCATGCAGCCCTTTTCTTCTGAAACATAAAAGGAAGGAAATCTCTCAATAGCCTGAAATCAAATTATCTCTCTGTGTTAATCTGCATGTAAAACACCCAAGCCCACTTCTTTAAAGGAAAATAGTTTTACTGATAAGCAAAGCTAGATTGTGTGCTTTGGATAGAAGAATTAAGTGGAATTTTTTTTTTTTTTGGTCTGCTGAGTACTATTTATAGCACCAATTAACTCCTCATGGCTGGGATAAGTCATTTGACACATCTGTTGCTGAGCTTAAACACTCACTGTTCTGTGGGGTCACAGTTGGATTTTTTTTCCTCTTCTCTCAAACCGTGTAGTGAAATGATGGTTTTCTAACTAATGGCAGTTAGTTTAAATACACTGTCTACTGACACCGTTATTGTAGCATTTGGAATAGATAAGTCAGGCTGTAGGTCTACCTAGCTGCATAGCTGACCCGATCTTTGTTGTTTGCCATTTTGTTATTTATTTTATCTGTTAGAAGATAGCACAATAGTATCTTTTACAAAAGAATTATTATGACCATCTGCAGGATTTTTCAGCCTTGCTGTAATATTTCAGTTACTCCGTTTTGCCAATGAAAAACTGGTCTGGCTATGGAAATTGCTGCCTACCCACTGAGTCTCTTGTTCCTGTTTTGTGAAATGGAGATTTAATGCTTGTAAATATATGGCTGTTCTCAGCTGTAGTTCCTCACATACAGACAGTTTCAGACTGCATTCCTGTCAGTAGCTTTTCTCTTAAAATGGAAGCCCTTTTACCAAAACTCAAAACGTCTAGAAGCCAAGGAAAATTAGGATACTTGTATATTGTTTAGTGTAATCTTTTAAGCATTCTGTGGAAGTAATTGCATAAGGTATATAACAGTTTGTTCATGTGATTGGCTTATTCTTGGCCAAATTGGATTTTATATTAATGAAGCCAAGCTTTAAAATACTAGGGGAAGAACTAGGAGTGAAGTTATGACCTACGCTGCTTTTGATCTTTATCTTTTTCTCTTTCTCATTGAAATAGCCCTGTTCTAAGAACAGATATATTGATTTTTGGTGGCTCTGCTTGCAAGGTAGCCTCTACAGTAAGGAAATATTTCTGTTGAAAATTACATCAGACACGGTCCATCCATACAACCCTACGCAGACAACAATGCCTTGGTAGTTAATTTAACGCCTGATACTATCTAGCCATCACACAAGCTGCTTGAGGTTTTCTTGGAAGACAGTATTCTAGTAAAATGGTTATAGTGAAATTTTCTACTCAATAGAAGTTTGCACGGATTGTTCGTTTCTGCTCACAGTGGAAGCACAGCAGCTACAGCGTGTATTGATGTCAGGGAGAATCAGGTCGGGGTCAGAGGAAGTGGTGGAGCTTGGTACATCCAGCTTCTGCTAAGAGCAGCTATGAGAATACTTGGAAACCTGCATATACATGAATCAGAGAGGGACCACAAAGTGCAATCCATTATTTTTAAGTAGAACTCCTTATCGATTTCAGTGGGAGAGACCTTTGAAAAATCAATGACATGAAGCAGCTTTAGGATGCAATGACATGTGTTCTGGGGTGTTAAAGTGATCAGCCTATGAACTAATCAAGCTGGTAGCAATCATGTTTGGAAAGTTCCAAGGCAGAAGAAAAGGTGTCAGCGGTTTAAGAAGCAGCAAATTTACTATTCATATTCTAAAAGAGATAGCTAAGTATGATCTTGCTCATTCTAACTTTAACTTCCAAGCTGCGTTTTATTTCTACAGAAAAACAAAAAATATAAAGGAAAATATAAAAATTTCTGGGGATATGTAAACATAGGCCTGTTCATTATAATGTACAATATTAAGCAAATGAAATTGCTGAAATAATAAAAATATTCTGGATTTTTCTCTGAGATTTGTGCACATCATTCAGCTGGTTACTTCAGACTTGGCTTTTTATATGGGGTATCGGGGGCGAGTGTTGTCTTCCAAATGCTACCCAACTAAAGTATTAATGATGCTGATATTTTCATCATCTTGGCTGAGTTGTCAGAGTTAACACTTACTGAGATAGAACAATAGCAAGGGTTTCTAAGTTACATCCAAATTCAGCAGACATATACTGGTCAGAATTCGGCCATCTCTACCTTCTACCTTGTTCAGTCTTTTGATATTTACAAGATTTAAAAAAAAAAAAACCAAACAACCCTATTCTGCCTAGGCATTCATTTGAGAATATATGGGGAGTGCTTATTTACACAGAGAATTTACAGTGCACAGGCTGAATTTATAGACTATCACATACCCCATTAAACCTTAGTGTGGACACTTAGTAGGTGTGAGGTAACATGATGCCACTTCGCTGTGCTGTTTTATGCTTAATTAACGCAAACACTGATCTTTGAAGGAAGTGTGGCATAATGAGTGCTCTGTGATGGAAGAGTTCAGCTTACTTAGTGTAGACAAGTTCTTAGGTTCTGGAGAGCAAGAGCTCTGCTTCAGAAAGGTGCCGTTATGCTGTTCTGGTCTATAAATGATAAATTCCAAGGAGAAATGGAAATTTTTTCATGTTGGGTAAAAGTAATCACAGACTAAAACATTTACTTTAAAAATTGCTTTTGTAAAAATATTTCCATTTGAAGTTTAATGCATTACTGAATTATTTATGCTATTATATGTATGCAGTTGTTAGAAAGGTGTTCTGTATTGCTCTAAATTATTTTCCTTCCCATCTGGGAGTACAGTGTAGCAATTGAAATGTATCTTATTAGGGAAATAAAGCTACAGTATAATTAAAGCTGTGTGGGCACACTCTATCACCAAGGCCTGAAAACACTGCCTGAAATTTTGGAAGAAAACCCCCAAAAATTCCTAGTAGCAAACTGCTGAAGTGAGGAGTCATTACTGAAGGGAAGCTGTAGAAAGACAACTGGTGTCATTAAAACACGCACTATTAATCCACAAGAGATATAAGAAAATTCTGTATTCTTTTTTTGCTGAGAACTGCCTTTCTGTAAGTTAATACAGTATGATTTCGGTGTTTTTTACTAAGAGGTTAATTAAAGTATTAATTTTTAAATGGACTGGGAACCCTTATGGTAAGATTGGCGATACTGTAGTGCTACTGACCAGAGCCAGTTCTGTAGTGAGTGAAGTGTTGGAGCTGTATTATGCATACAAAGATGTATGTCTGTGTGAATTCTTTTGCTGCTGTTGCCAAACCCAGATGAGAATATGATATTCTGCAAATTTATTTGTAGAGTTTATTTATTTCTACAAACTGATTCCTGCTGGATAATTGGATGAAACTTCCTACTGATGTAAAACCTCAGATATTACACACTGACATTTTTTCTGCAATAATAGTTAACTCGTGGGCTGCAGTGTTCATTGCTGTGTCCTTAAGATCCAGAGTTCCTTCTCAAGGGGTTTTCCTGTTAGCATTTCCTCTGCTCTTGTTCCTTCTCTAGTTTAAGCCTTGTTTCACAGACTGCTTCTGTCCAAAGAAACAAAAAAACCCTGACCAGCTTTTTTTTTTTGTTTCTTTTGACACACACACAGTATGTCTGTCTGTGCCTATGAGAGAACTATATTGGAATAGCTTTCTTTGTGAATTCCTCATTGCTATTCATTGGTGGAGATTGTCACGTAAGGGTCAAATTAGAACTCAGTCAACCAGAGCAGCAACAAGACGAGCCAAGCTTAAGATAGATTTTGCAATAAGGTCTGAGAAGCAGTTTATTTGGAATTTGTTATGTGTAATATATATATATATATATATCTATATATATATATATAAAAACACATCTCTATATATAAAAAAAAAAAATTATTTTCCAAAGTGTTGCCTTTTGTCTGTAGAAACTGAATTATGCTTAATTTAATCCATCTGGTCATTTACTTGAGAATTAGTCTTTCTCTCACTCTGCCTCCTGACTTTCATCTTTGGGTGTATCTTCGCAATGTTTTGTTATATCTAGTAAGTTTTCAGGATAAAATTTACTTCTGGTAGTTTAAGAAAAACAAGTTTTTCGGGCATGATGGTCCTATGCCCTTTGAGATTGGATCCATGCAAAGAAAGGATCATATTTCTGGTAATTTAGCTGAAACGCAAGAAATTGTGTTTATGCTGGCTTCATGAAGGCAGATGGTACCTGGTCAAGCATAAAATTTGCTGGGGCAAAATTACGCTCTGAAAATGTTCTAAAACTTTTGAACCAGCAAAGTGAGTTTGTACTGGCTCTGCATTTCATGCCATGTGGTTGCAGCATTTTTGATGTGGTAGTAGCTTAAAACTGGATATACTGCTTCACAGAACCATGCCTTTGCGAAATGGATTCTGTTCTGTACGTTCTCCAGCAAAAATAGGTACTTAATTTGCAGTCGCTGACCCAGAGAAGTTTTGGTGCTAAATGTTTTAAGACAAAACCAATCAGAGATTTGCAGAGCTACACAGATGACCTAATATCCCAAAACCTATTTTCACTTGGGTTTCATATAGGATTAGGTTACAGACAGGTAGAACCAACAAAGTGGCTGTAAGCCACTGTGCAGTGTGCATCTTTTAGAAATGAATGTACCCTAACAGGTGTCTATGAAACGATCTTCAGGGGCTCATACAACAGACATGGGGCCTAAAATTGTGTGCCTAAATAATTAATTTCTGAGAGCATCATGTTATGTTTTATGTTTTAATATCCAGTTTTGTAACATTCAAGATCCTCATTCCAGTCCAGAGTTTTTCCTGATTTAGGTCATTAACAGTAAGTCTTATGGGAACATGCAAGTATCACTGGTAACAAATCAGATTAACCAGGTAGGTTTTTTTCCTTAGGACTGGCTTCTCTGAATACTTTTTCTTCTTCCTCCAAGTTAGGAGGAAAACAGTATAGTAAATAATTTACACAACATGGTGAGGGGAACCAGGGAGATGACTGTACAGAAGAGGCTGTAATATACCTTATTAACTAACTGTCTTCTCTTTCCTCTCTCTTGCAGCTGGTTCTGGTTGAGGCTGCTCTTCTGCTTTGTCTGTACTTCTCTAGTCTTAGTGGGTGATGCCAGAGCAGCTCTAATACTCAGAGCCCAGTAAGCCACTAGGTGTGTATTGCTTGCTTTTCTCTGCATGATTTCTGATACTGCATGGGGCAGAACCGTCATTTTATGCTACTTATCTCTTGTGGCACTTCAGGGTGAAAATATAATTAGCATGCGTTATGCTTCAGTTCCACAGATTATTTAAGTCCCATTTTTGCTTTTATTCTAATGGTTTTCTTCCTTGTAGAAGCACATAGCTAATGTTTCCATGCATGCTCGCAGGCCTTCATGTTTGCTCCTACAGCTGCTTATTTGCTGTATGTACAAGCTTCTTGTTGCTCATCATAATACCATCTTTTGCCAGCAGGACCTAATAGACTTCAGTTGGGCTGGGAGAGAGTGATAGTGGGACAACTACGCTCAGTTTCTTGGACCCAAGAAATCTCCTGTGTGCCCCAAGAGCCACTTTCACTGAGAGAAGCCTCTGTGATGTTCTGTAGCTGAGTGGAGGACAGCGATCTCCTCAAACGCAGCTCACTCAAGTATCTGATTGTCTTAGGCAGGCAGAATACTTTGAGAAGTGCAGGGGATTTGAGGTTCTCCGTGACTGTTAAGATTTAGGTGCTTAAATCTCCCAGAACTTGACCCCTCAATCTCAAGGGCTTTTAAAGAAGTGTTGACTATCAGCTACATCCTATATTAGCAAAATTAGTGTGCAGAGTTAACTCACTTTTTTTGCGGAGTGACAAGTAACCCTGGGCATGTCAGTGTTTCTAAGAGCCTTCAAACTCAGGCAGGAGCTGGGCTATTAGTAGTGTGTAGGACCCCCTTTTCGGCTCTTTGCACAGGGGTGATTTTCATCTTTATTGCACACTTAAGCTGTATTGACTTATTGGAGGCCTTTTGATGCATTAGTTCTTCATGTGAACAGTCAAAACCACCAGATTCTCTAACTTTGCTCTAACTCTAATGCAACACTAATATATTTAGAGTCACGTAGGCAGGAGAGAGATTTGCTGCTGTCAGCGTAGCCTTTGACACTTTGTAGGCAAGTATTTGCTGTGTTTAGAAGTACAGCCTAAGGAATAATCTTTACCTGGCTGCTATAGGTCTAATACTTTCATTTATTTATACCCTTTTCAATGCACTTGAATTTATTTACAAATGGTAGCAAATTGCAAGTGGCAGCCAGAGTAACTCATGAGTCAGTACTTTTATTTTTCTCCTCTAGTCTAGACTGCTGATAATGTAAATTGTTGAAACCCTGGGTAAATAATTGTGAGTACAATCAACAGCAAGCAAGTATTTATCTGCTAATAAAACATTTGAAATGCAGAAGTCTGTCTTTGTCCAACAGTTCTTAAAAGGCACTTATTGGTCCTGCTGCTGTTTCTGCATAGCAATTAGGATTTTTATGGTCACTAATTGTACATCTGAAAATTTACACAGTTTATTTTCTGCCTGTGTTTTTCTTTGCACAGAGAAAAGAAGCACAATATTTATGGATGTAAGGAGGTTAACATTATATTTTCTGCATGGAAATCTCTGTAGCTCTCTAGAGATTTGTACCATTTATAGAACCCAAATTTTCTAGGTTCTCTCATGTGTGGCATCAAGGGCTTATAGCTCATTAAGGATTTTCTGAATGGGATCTTTGTCACATTCTCAGAATGCGACTTGAAAGTTATATACCAGCTCAATCATCAACTGTGACTTTTATTATTAAAGCTGTTACTGCTTCAGAATCTGTATTAGAGGAGGTGTTTCTTGAATTTTTTCATTTCCATTCATCAGAAACTTGCATTATATAGTCTAAAGGGAACCTGTTTGTTAAAATATAGTTACTACAGTTTACATCTTGTTACCTTCCTACATCCCTACTTGATTCAGTTTTGAAAATTAGTCCATAAAAATGTCCAGCCTCTTGGGCCCCCAAAAGATAATGGTTATGTCATACCATTGTTGCATGTGAGAAAGAGCTGTTTTAGCTGCAGACAGTGAATTGTCTGAAAGATGGGCCCCTGCGGGGAGTGACTGAGGATACTTGAGTTCCTGGTCTGCAGCACCTATAAGGATTTTGTCTCCATTCATTAATCCCTGGCCGAATCATTTTTTCTTGGGCCAGGAGCATCCCCTCATCTGAGGTGTATTTGGATCAGTGTGTCAGTCAGGCTGTTCCTCTACTCTAGCATAAGGGCAGTGATAATTAGTAACCAGGTAGCTGTCTTTAAGAATATATAGTTAGAAATGCTCCCCGCCCCAACCCCTGTGTAAATTTTTCCCAAAATAGGACTACTGCCTGGGTCTGTGAAGTCCCACTTCTTTCACACTCCCTTTAAGGAGTCTGTGAGCATGTCTGCACTACTGGGAGGAAAGAAGACAAACAGAGCTGGCTCCATCTGTGCAAAGCAGGGAAGCACAAAAGCAGAAACATGCAAGTTGGCTGCCCATGAGCCAGCTTAGGTTCAGAAAGTCTGGCTGTGTTTATGTGTAGCTGTGCCAGGGCTAAATCATGCTGAGATGTAGCAGGTGAGTCACGCAGTCCTGTCCTGCGTTACACAGACTTCCCGTGAGTCACACTATCCTTTTAGATGGTTGTGATTCTCTTTTGCAGAAACCAATGTACTCTCTGAAGGTTTTATAGGCTTTCAGTAATCTAGCAAAACAAGGTTTGGAGTGGAAGGTCTCTGAAGCTGACAGCTTGGTCTATATTTGACTAGTTTGTGACATAGGGAAAACCCTTCAGTGGTTTTTGGTTTTCTTTCAGAATCTCAATAGAAGATAAATCAATGCATAAATGAGAAAAGTCACTTCTGCTTACTGGTCTGAAAACATGAAAGCCTCAAATCATGGTTATATGTAAACATAAAACTAATACATTAGTAATCCTCTACACTGTTTCCAGTGTGGTTTCATATCACTCTGATTCCTTTCAACAGCAACTCCCTAGGGGTTAACAATGAACCACAGAGCTACTGGCAGGTTATTTCCCATGATATCAAGGTGAATGTCATTGGGTTTGGGTCTGTTACTTCTGCCCCAGTGTCTTTTGGGCCTGTTGAATGATTTCAAGCACATATGACAAAAGAAGGGAGACTTCAGGCCTACTTAGGAGATTCCAACAAACTGCCTGAAAACATGCAGCTTAGTATCTATTAATAACCCTCTATTGGGAACATAACAGTATATGACCACATTGTCATTAGCTACCAAAGAATCAGCACAGGAGAGAGACCTGATAAATGGAAAACACATCAGTCCAGGGTGTGCATCATCTGAAGGCACTGAACGATGAAATGCAAAGCTTTAGAGACCAGGGTTTGGTACTATCTGTACTTGTGGAAAACCTTGTTGATAGATGGAAAACAAAGAATCTCTGGTAGCAGGAAGAATCGCTCCTGATTTGCACATCAAGGGACAATTTCTAGGGACTTAACTCTCAGCACAGAATATGAACTTTTCCTGAATTAGAGAGCTGAAGAAGGAGCTCAAGAAAATTCTGCCTCTGTGCTCATCTCAGAGGTGCTCTAAGTAGTTTAGTAGAATGGGAGCGAACTAGTTACTCATTTAGCTTTAGTGAAAGGGTTCTGTTGAAGCCACCATTTAAGCTTATGTTACGTTGCTGATTTTACACACTCATGAAAACATTTTAAGTGATGTTCACATTATAGATCTGTGGAATCAGTGGGAGTTTTGCTGCATGCACCACATAGATGGAGATGGGGCTTTAAACTGAATACTTCATAACCCTGCTAGAGAAGACATAAGGCAGAAGATATATCCCCTCTAGCTGGTTTCTGAGTTCTTCCTTTTCCTGTGTTGAGAGACAAGCAGTCCTGTGTGCTTTCCATGTAAGATGTTTGATTTTGGCTTTTTCATTTGCATTATTAGGGAACAGCTGCATGAAGGACTGTTTCATTGGCTACCATGCTGAAATCATCAAGCACATTTCAACTGCAGTTGCACTCTCTGCATTTAAAAATATTTTCCATATTACAGTGTGCTCCTATAATTAAAAAACAAAAACTATTTTCAGCTACTGTCTGCTAAATTGGGGTGGGGGTGGTATGTGTGTGTGTTCCATTCACTTGGAAAAAAAAGGACACAACCGTTTTCTTGTACCATGAAGTTTCTGTCTTCAAAAATGTTAAACTTCTCACTTATGCTGTTAAAGACAAAAATTCAAGGTGTCTATGGTGAGAAAGACTCTGTTCCTCACTCCCTCCAAAGCCATATCTTTTTTTATATATTTCTTTTAAGTACATTATTATTTGCACAGTGAAATTAGCTTTGCAAGAGGGATGAAAACCCTTGTCAGAGCAATTTTAGCAAAAAGATCAAAGGAATTAAATATAAATTCTCTCCAAGGTGAGCATGTGGGTTTTCTTCTTTTTTGAACAGAGAAGCCTTGGACTAATTACTTTTAATTTAAAATCAAATCAAATGGATGGAAAGGAAGTCTTTTCACAGAGTACTGCAGTTTGCTTCTTAGATTGAACAGTATTTTAGTAGGGTGACTAACAATGTGCATTTTTATTTTTAACTCTGACCTGTGCCCTCCCTACCCCTTTACCTAACCCTTTCCATTTACCCTGGTCAGTTAACAGGCAGGAGCATTTGAAAACAATCATGGATGACTATGATATCAGGTCTGCTGCCAGCATTTTAGCATCTGTTAAAGAGCAAGAAGCTCGTTTTGAGCGGCTTACCCGTGCACTCGAGGAAGAGCGGCGCAATGTCTCCTTGCAACTTGAGCGTGCCAATCAGCCAGCAGACCGAATGAGCATTTGCAACATTGGCAATGGTCAACCACTGGCAACCGCCTGGCAGCAGCTTGTACTGCAGGTAACAGCCTGCTCCTTTTACCTGTTGCTAGAGTTCACCTATACCAGAATTTCTCATTCCAGAAAGTCAGGTGCATCTTGTTTGTCGTCAGCATTTCATTCTGTAGCTTGTCTTCTGATACCCCAGCATTGGTATGCTTCAATTAATTTGGTAGCTCAGACTTCAGAGCCTTGGCTTAGAAGTTGCTCTTAACTTCTTAGCCCATGGGATACTTCTAAAATGTATGCATTCTTGATTATTAAACTCTAAAGAGAGAGCTTCACACCCTCTTCTAAATCTATGCACTTGCTGTAAGTATGCTGATGTGCTGGTGATTGAAAAAGAAGGCTGAATCATAATCTCCATAGCAAACAAAATTTCCATTAGAAATAGTTGGACTTTGAATAGAGGGAACAGCATGAAAAGCAGGGATTTCCCTCCTGCAAAGTCTTATTGTTTGTGTAGGGAGGACTTCATAATTTGTTTCTCATGTTTATTGAATTGATAGACTTTATTTTAATGATGCAAACTGGCTTTGTGGTAGCCTTAGATTTCCAAATATTGTTTTGCTTGATAAGTGTTCTTTGATTGTTTAAATGTGCAGTGATAAACTACTTATATCTCTAAATTATTTAAGCCTGCAAATCACTCTGACATGCAAGGTAAGTCATGCAGAAGCAATAGTACTGTTTGTGAGGGTCTGTTTCCTGAGAAAACATTGTTCAGTTCAGAGAGAAACTCCAGGCTATAGGGATTTTAAAAGTTGTTTCCCAATTATACCAGACTGTTTTACAATTATATTTGCATTGAGCTGTATTCAGGCAGACTTTACATTATAGTACGTTAGCACAGCTTTTCTATTAACAGCTGCCATGTTTCTGTACGTGTAGGTTACTGAATATGGGACTCGGTGTGAAAGGAGCAGCCTGCGCTGGTTAGGCTGGGAGTCTGGCAGGAGCTGGTAGGAGCTGTAGGTTGTTACCCTCTGATTCACAGCTGGGCTGGGGAGAGGGAAGATGTGTTTATATATTTTTATAGAAAAAGGACAAGTTCACCTTCACTTTTTCTGAATGACTTTGTGCAAAGCGCCTGATTAATAGCTCCAGAATGAAATCCCTTATCCACAAAACTGATGAAGCATGAGTTTTCTGCAGTGTTATGCCTTAAGGTCTAACCACTTCCAAGAAAACTTAATAAAAAGAGTTTGTTACTGGGGGTCTATGTGACTCTTATGGAGAAACAGCCCCTGTAAGTGACCCTAGACTGAATCTGTGTACGCTCAGCTCCTTGCCACTGGGTGAGGAGAGCTTTAGTTCATAAAGTGTTGAGGTTTTTAGAGTAGCTTGTATATGAAATAAAATGATTGAATAGCTAAATATGCAGAGTTAAGAATTAACGTAAGGTTATTTGTGTGCGTTTTCATTAAATGTACTGAGAGCCAAATTCCTCCCTGACTTACTAGAATTAATTAGTGTTTAAATTAAGGATAAAAGCTGTACATTCAGTCTTATGCAGAATATATAATGATTTCATCTTTACTCTTATATATTGCACTTCATTGTTGAAAGTACACAAAGCAAAAGTCACTCTGTACTCTTCTGTCTGTAAGGATTGCTCACGCACTATAGTGAAATGAAACTATGTCCGAAGCTGTATTTTAGTGAGGACTGACTGATTTCTGCTTATTGCCCTATTCAGCCTTTCCTTGTAAGCAACATTACAGAATAACTCAAGGAGTAGCTTTTCCATTTGGAAGTATCATAGGCGGTTATACATAATCTAGTTATTCTGAGTAGACTTTGGTCAAAAAATTAGGGTTAAATGAGAATGCCAAATAATCTTTAATGATCTCCACAACCAGGCATCAGCTTTCCATGTTGTTTGATTGTCAAAGTGGAATCTGTCAAAGGGATTTGTTAGGGAAGTATGTATAGTCAGGGCTTTGTTAACAGAAGTCTCTCGGTAGGTTTTTTTTTGTAATACATGCTCCCAAACTTACTCCCTTCTTAGAAAAGAAAATTTTAAAATTAAGCTTTTTTAAAAAAATTTAGGAAAGTAAAAAGAATATATATGTAATGTGCCAGAAGTGTAAACAATTTTCTGAAGTCCTCAAAAGACAAAATCAAGGTCTTGTGCAAATACTGATTTTAATTAATTTTTGATTTTTCTGCTGCGCGCCCCCCCCCCCTTAACATCAACTTTAAACTTGTTGCATACAATAGCTCCTTGTCCTAGGTGGCCCATTTGGCCACTTCTTTCACTTCACTTCTTGGTGAGTTCTGCCTGGTCCGTGTGTTTAGAATATTCTAGTTGAACTTGCAAACTGTTGTGCACTTGTTGACATCTGCTGGAAGTGTGTATCGAAGTGTGTCTTTTGGCCCCTGACAAGAAATACCAGGCCTGCAAATGAGGTCAGGGATGTGCTGTAATTGCCAAAAAATGTGTGCATAGACTTCTTAATTTTACATCAACTAAGTGTGTGGGATTTTTCTAAAAAGTACCTTAAAGTTGTTTTTAATAGAAGTTGATTACTTGGACAATTTAAACAAATCATTAATGGTTTGTTCAGATATTAATTAGAAATAGCTGAGATTATTCTTTAATGGAAATTTTTCCCAGAGGAGAGGCTTCTGAGAGATACTGTCCTCAAAATAAGAGGTCCTAAACGTTGCTGAAATGTCTCCCTTTAATATCAGTGAGAGTCTTTTATTGAGGTAGCGGCCAAAGCGTTCGTATTTTCATGGCCCACTGTAGGAGGCAGTGCCTGACAAACCTTCAGGCTGTGCAGAGGTGTTGTACCCATCTCTCCTTCCTGCAAGAGGCAATAATCAGCTACTGCCACACAGGCAGCTGGCTTTAACCAGCACCGTTATGTGGTGAGCAGGGATGGAAGTGCTGTGTGTGGTTAATGCTGTTGAACAAGTGGGTAAATGTAACTTCTGCCCTATGCAGCTTCCCCAGTCTTAAAGGCTGGCTTTAACTAGAGTGTGTTGATAAGTGTATAGCTAGTGACATGAATTAGGGTGTTTCAACTACAGAAGTTTTGGAAGATGTGCAACATTATACATGTGTTACTGCAGATTTTGAAGTGGTCAGATAAAGGGCTCTTCCGGACTAAGAACCCTTGGGACAAAAGATCATTAGTTACTCAGTGAAAACCTTCGCATTACTCTGAAAAATATAAATTACATTTTAATCATAGGCTTTTATCTGTTTAATAAAAATCTCCTAAAAATCCTTTCAGTTTTTAAGGATGTTTTTGACTCTGCTCCCTATTCTGACTTTGAGTGGTGGGAGCCACATGGCTTGCCAGTGCTATTTGTTTCTGGCTGTACTAAAAGGAACAGAGCTGTCAGTTAATGTGTATTTGTGTTTGCTTCTCTAATTTTTGCAGTAAAGAATGTAAAAAAAATATATTTTTTTTGTTGATATAGTATCCCAAGCTGTGGGAGTCTTGGCAGTCTTTGCTTTTTTATCAGTTTACTACCAATGCAGGCATAGTCCAATAAGCTTCTAAGTCACTGGTGAGTAGCACCTATCATGTGTCTTCTATGTGTTAAAGTATCTGGTTGGTAGTGTTTTTTACAAGCTTGATAAATCTTAATACTTTTCATGTGTGAGATATTTAGTTTAATCTACCTGGTTCTATTTGACTTCTTTTCAAATCAGCCTTCTGCTGCTCTTCGCAGTGGGAGCTGAAGTTGGGCAGGGAGAAGATGTGAAAGTGCATCTGTAGGGTATAGACTATAATGGGCTGAATGCACATAGCTGCAATATTGTCACTGGATAGCTAACCATTCAGAGCATTATTAAAACATCAGACATGTGAAACTTATTAAGCACAAGGCTGTATCCTGAGTTGGTTTAAATTGGCATGGGTCCATGGGTTTCAGAGAAGCTCTGTCAAGTCTGATCAGCTGGGGAGCTGAACAACAGTGTTTGCATTCAAAGATTGTTTCCCCATTGGTACACATTGACAATTTCCATTCCTGTTAATGTTTCATAACCAAAATAAAGTACAGCGTTCAATAAACCTCTTTTGCCAACAAATACACTGTGACAATACTTTGACTTCAGTGATTTTGCAGTGACCTATAGGGGTTTTGAGAGGAGTTCCCATTATAAGGTAGGTAGGTATTATGCCCATTCTTACAGGTAGGAAAGCTGTGGGAGTTGCCAAATCTCACATGGTATAACTAACAGAAATCAGCTGCTTGCATGCTGGTGCAGTCTGACTTATCAAACTGACTTTTATGCTTGTAAGAAGTAATGTAAATTAATCTGAGAAGTTTCTGCAGTGACAAAATCATCCAATAATTAAAAATATGTTTTATTTGACTGTTATTTCTATTCTTTTAGGTTCCCTGTGGTGGATTTGTTGGGGTGGGTTTAGGTTGGGTTTTTTTGGATATATCATCTGATACATTTGGCTAAGGTGGTACTGGAATAGATTAAACCCCAAATGGAGTTTGTGTGTGTGTGCATATATGTTAGTATGATATAGATATTCCCACATGCTTTTTATAAAACCTGTTATTAAAAAAGCCTATCAGCATAAATTCACTCTGGTGTACATTTTTTTTTTCTTAGAATGATATTTTTGTTTAAAACCTCACAGTATTAAATTGGTTGTCCTGATGCAAGTTTTATAGAATTCTGTTGTACTTTATGGAATACTTTTTACACATGGAACATAGCTCCTATAAGAAGGAAGCTCCATTACAGTCCTGATGCCACAGAACTGGTAAAGGCTGCCAAGGAGTAAATAGTGGCCGAACAATTGGCTATAGGGTTTGTGGTATGCTTTCTAGAGTCCGTCAGGCAACAACATGTGCCAAAGAGACCTGTGACTGCAACTGTAAGGTAAATCAGTTTTAGTGACTAGTTTCTTCCCCTAAAAGGAGTGATAAAATAGCTTATTTTCTTTTTCAGAAGCAAAATACAAATTTTGGATCCTTTTTTGACTTTAAACTTCAACCAGCTTCACTGATAAATTTTTGACTCAGCATTAGGCCAGCAGC